GTATGTTGACATTATGACATTAGATTCCTTCCTTCCTTCCTTCCTTCCTTCCTTCCTTCCTTCCTTCCTTCCTTCCTTCCTTCCTTCCTTCCTTCCTTCCTTCCTGATTTCTTAGAAGACATAAATCAACTACTTGGAGGAATGAATTCTTTTTGTTTATCTTTAATATTTTTACATGTAAACAATGTGAATGTTGTAACACATTTAATAAAATTCTTTGTTGAGTCTTTTTTGCCAGCATAGAAATTTGAATCTAGTAAGGAATGAGAACATTATAGACTACACTATAATATTTCAAGTTGTATAGTTGGCTTGAATGGAGTCTGTTGTGACTTGTGATTAGTATCTGAGGTCTTTGGATATTTGGGGTTGGGGAAGAGCTAGCTGCAGATTGATGATTTTTACATATAAGGCAGCAAAAAGAATTCTTTAGAAAAAATTGCCTAGAATAAAATGCATGATTTAGGTAAACTTACTTTCTTCCCTTTCTCTCCTGTGTTGTCTGTGCAGTCCCCCACCAGAAACTGAAGTTCAAATTAATGCTGCTAATGCTGGACTTCCACAGTTAACTGTGTGATAGAATTCCGTCATGTCAGAAACCTAACTCAGATTGACTTAAGCAAAGAATGGAACTTACTGGTTTATGTGACTTACTTGTTGGACGAGTATAGCTACTTTAAAAAGTACCTAAGTAGGCTTCATTACTAAGTAGGCTTCTCTTTGGCTGATGGATTATGTCTTTAATCTACAAACTTCAGAAAGAGCACATGTCTTCCTAACAAAGGCAATGTGAATTTTATGATTGACTTTTTCTCAGCTGGGATTTATGTGCTTGAATCACCTAAAAACTTATGGATATCTCTATGTGGCCAACATCACCATAGCTACAGGGAAATGACAATGGAGGAGTGTACTTTACGCTATACCAGCCTGTTTGGGAATATCAACTTCCAAATGCCCAGGGACTTTTTACAACAAAAGCTTACTTCTCACTCAGTACTGTGTTCCAAGTCCAGGTGATAACAGGGCAGCCCGTGTGGTGACTCAGGAATCCACCCTATTGTCCATCTTCCTCTCCTTTTGAGGCCTCTACAATGGCTTCATCAGGGAGAGGGAGGTGGGGGGGGGGGGTAGGGGACAGAAAAGGTTGTATGTAGCTCTGAATGCTTCAGCCTGGTACTTGAAGCAGTGCTTACTATGCAAGAGGCACTTGAACTTTGACCTCACTCCCAAACTTTATACTTCTTCAGTAGCTTTAGTCACATTTACTATTTTAACTATCTTAGTTATTGGAATAAGATTTGAAGTGTGTTTTGGCTTTATCTACTCGATATGGGGAAGTTTGACATCTCAAATTCTACTAAATTTACAAATATTGCTAAATTTGAAATACTTGTAACAGATGGACAGCCCACCATAGCTATTCCTCCTTATGTAGCAACTTTATTGATGTATAATTCACACACAATATAATCACTCTTCTTTTTTTCAGAAGTTTTTCTTTTTCTTTTTTTTTTGGTCAGTTGTGGGGCTTAAACTCTGGGTTTGGCTGCTGTCCCTGAGCTCTTCAGGTCAAGGTGAGCACTCTACCACTTGAGCCACAGCACCATTTCTGGTTTTTTGGTGGTTAATTGGAGATAAGAGTCTCATGGATGGTTCCTGCCTGGGCTGGCTTTGAACTGTGATCCTCAGATCTCAGCCTCCTGAGTAGCTAGGATTACAGGCGTGAGCCGGCACCAAGCTAACATGCCATTTTAATATTTAAAGTTTGATAATTAAGATTATTTTTACAATGACCAAAATACTAAGGCCACCTCCCCATCAAGTTTTTTAAGTAGTTGTACAAATGGGTTTCAGTTCAATAAGTGAGATTATGAAGAATAATTCACTCTTTAGAAGTATAGAATCCAGTAGATTTTAGTATATTTGCAGTTGTGCAATAATTAGCACTGATTTTAGAACATTTTCATTGTCCACAAGGAACCTCTAGCAGTCATTCCCTTCTTTAGGTCTGGGCAACCATGAATCAATCTCCTGTTGTCTGGAGAAAACACTTCCCTCCCTACTCCCCACAGTGCCACTTCTGGCTTTTTCTGTTTATGTGGTAATGAGCAATCAAACCCAGGGCTTCATGCATGCTAGGCAGGCATTCTACCACTAAGCTACGTTTGCAGCACCTCTGCTATTGTTTTTTATTATGCTAATATAAAAATGTTTATGTATTTTATTTCTTTAATCATATGAATTTTTTTGCTTACCTGTTAAAATGTTTTGAGTGTTCACCTGCACAGTTCCTTAAGTTATATATACTTGGGTAATTTCAAAATATTAACATATTAATAAATATTTTGATCAAAAATTGAGACACAATGCATTCATTCTTTTCTTTGTAAGTTAATGCTGAGTAAATTTCTTTACTCCTCCTCCTCCTCTTCCTTCTCCTCCTCCTTCTACTTTTTTTGTTGGTTGTGGGGCCTGAACTCTGGGCCTGGGCACTGTCTCTCAGCTCTTCAGCTCAAGGCTAGTGTTCTACCACTTGAACCACAGCACTGGTGCCACTTCGGGCTTTTTCTGCTTATGTGGTGGTGAGGAATTGAACACAGGGCCTCATGCATGCAAGGCAAGCACTCTCGCACCGAAACACCTTCCCAGCCCCTCAGTTGTCTTTGTTTTGGTCCTGGAGCTTGAACTCAGAGCCTAAGTGCTGTCCCTGAGCCTTTTTTTTTTTTTTTTTTGTGCTCAAGGCTAGTGCTCTACTACTTGAGCCACAGCCCCACTTCTGCCCTTTTTTTTTTTGTCTTTTGGTCGGTCATAGGGCTTGGGTGCTGTCTCTGGGCTCTTCAGCTCAAGGCTAGCGCTCTACCACTTGAGCCACAGCTACACTTCTGGTTTTCTGGTGGTTTATTGGAGACTTTCCTACCCCGGTGGCTTTGAACCATCACCCTCAGCCTCCCGAGTATCTAGGATTACAGGCAGGAGTCACTGGCTCCCCGCTGGCTTTTCTTTTTCTTTTTGGAGATAAGAATCACAGAATTTCCTGCCTGGGCTGGCTTTGGATGGTAAACTTCAGATCTCAGCCTCCTGGGTTGGGAGGATTACAAGTGTGAGCCACTGGCACCTGGTTAGACTTTCATTTCTAATATTCCCAGTAACTTGCACAATCTTAGAATACCATACACAATTATTTGTAGAATGAATAAACGGGACTGAGTAGAATGAATCTGATAATAATTAAAATAGGTTATTTTTGTAAAATATTTATCTGATAGATTGTAGAGCCATTTAGTTTATAAATGTTTCTATTTAAAGCAGTGAATCTCTATTTGTGATGATAGACCTGGTTTTTTTTTTGGGGGGGAGGGAATGGGATGAGGTGAAAGACCATGACTTTGGTATCTGATGCTTTAAGCTCATTGACAGGTGCCCTAACATCTGAGCCATGTCTCTTAACCCCATAGATGGACCAGTTTTTATTTGTTTCTAATCCATTGTGTGTACTCATTGTTGTGAAGTAGTAGAAGATGACATTAAACAGACATGCAAAATACAGGCTATTTTTGTTTTTGATTCTACAAATTACTTTTCAAAGAATCCATAGACTCTCGGAGGGGTGTGTAGATTGTACTTTGAGGAGCATGATACAAAGCATCTGTGGTAAATGCTTTCCCTTATTTAATTCTCATAAATCTATGGGGTAGATGTTGGCACCAGATATAGGAAACTAGTGCATAGAGAAATTAAGTAAATTGACCAAGGAACTAGGGTTCAAACTATATATATTGGTATGCTTATTTAATAAAGATAAATGAAGGTAGCATTTTTGTTAAAGAATAGGCATGGATGGAAGCGAAGGTCTATAAGATCATCTAATTCATCTGCCTAAAAAGAGAAAAGTTAAGCTGGGCCTTAGTAGCTCATACCTGTGAGATCTTAGGATCACAGTTCAAAGCCACCTGGGACAGGAAAGACGGTGAGATTTTTAGCTCCAATTAACCACCAAAAAAGCCAGAAGTGGAGCTGATGTTGCTCAAAAACACCAGGGACAACACCCAGACTCTGAGTTCAAGTCCCAGAATCAGCACAAAAGGAAATAAAAAAAGTTAGAAATTACAGAATGATTGTCATATAAAAATAGTTATGGGGGCTGGGAAGGTGGCTCAGTGGTAGAGCGCTTGCCTTGCATGCATGAGGCCCTGAGTTCAATTCCTCAGCACCACATAAGCAGAAAAAGCCTGAAGTGATGCTGTGGCTCAAGTGGTAGAGCGCTAGCCTTGAGCTGAAGAGCTGAGGGACAAAATCCAGGCCCAGAGTTCAGGCCCTATGACTGGCCAAAAAAAAAAAAGTTATGGAGGATGGTGGGAGATCAGTTGTTCTCTTATCCCCATAACGACACAATGGCTGCTTACATTTTACCTTACTTAATATTAAAAGTCTCTGATTGGCCAGCTAAAAGGGTCAGGGCATTTCTTTAAAATAGGTCCTTATGCTGCATACTCTTATTTTTCTTATTTTTTTTTCTTATTTGACAGTTTCATCAAATCATATTTATTTAAGCAGAAATAAGCTTTCTATGTATCAGTATTTTTTTTTTTTTTGTCGGTCATGGGGCTTGAACTCTGGGCCTGGGCGCTGTCCCTCAGCTCTTCAGCTCAAGGCGAGCGCTCTACCACTTGAGCTACAGCGCCACTTCCGGTTTTCTGGTGGTTTATTAGAGATAAGAGTCTCACGGTCTCTCTTGCCCGGGCTGGCTTTGAACTGCGATCCTCAGATCTCAGCCTCCTAAGTAGCTAGGATTACAGGCGTGAGTCACCAGCGCCTGGCTATGTATCAGTATTTTAAGAACAAAACATAATGATCATATGGTAGTAGATGATCACATTGCTGTTGTCATTGTTTTATATTCTGAAATTCTTAACATAATTAAGTCAGAAACTTTTGAAGTATTTTAATTTCAAGAACACTATTGTTTTAAATTTAAAAAAAAAATCTTCTTCCTATAGAAATCTGGTTAAGAAGTACTGTCCCAAACGTTCATCCAAAGATGAAGAGCCAAGGTAAATGACCTGCTTGTGTATTTTTGCATATGAAAAACTTTTTAAAACTTATACTCCTATTATTTAACAAAAATGTGTGATTGTATTTTTATGAAGCTATTTAAAAAGTTTGTTTTAATAAATCAGTGCTTATACAAGAGGAAATTAGTGTTTATCTTGTAAACATAAATACTAAAGTAGTTTTCTAGAATGGTGGAAGTGGAGATTTCCTTTGGGTGATGGTGAGTTTGAACCCATTAGAGTCATGCCTTCTAGCCCTCTTTTTGCTTTTGTTATTTTTCAAATAGTTTCACTTTGTGCTTAAGTCAGACTGTGATCTTCCTTTTTACAGTTCCCTGATTAAGTGGGATGTGTGGGTGCCAATGTGTCCAGCTCTACTTTCTCCTCATGTTTCCCCTCCCCTGCCCCCCTTGGCACTGTAGTTTGAACTCAGGGCCTTGTGCTTGCTATACAGGCACTGTTACCACTGAGCCATGTTTCTAGCCCAGATTTTTATTGGTTATACTTGAAATAGGGTCTTGCTTCCTGACCAGGTACATACCTGGGCAGGCTTCACTTGTTAGGCCTCCAGCAGCTAAGGACACACAGCACAAGCCACTGAATCCTGCATTCCATGGACTTTTTTTTTTGCTGCTGGAACTGGCTTTCAACATAGATTTCAACAATCTCAGCCTCCAAAGTAGCCACCGGTGCCCAGCTAAAGTGGGAATTTCTTTTTTTTTTTTTTTTTTTTTGGGTCTGGTCGTGAGGCCTTAACTCTGGACCTGGGTGCTGTCTGTCAGCTCTTCAGCTCAAGGCTAGCGCTCTACCACTGAGCCACCTTCCCAGCCCCTAAAGTGGGAATTTCTAAGCAAGTTATATTCTAGAACTCTTAGTCTCCAGAAGAAAAGAATTATTTTCCCATTCTTTTTGTAGTTCTCAGCTTCTGAGATTCTAAGCTTAGAGGGAGTAAACAATCTGGCTGGATAACTTAAAAGGATAATAAACAGTGAAAAGATTTTTAATTTTGTATATGTGAGTGTGACTGTGCGTGTGTGTCTGTATGTGTGCATGCACAGTTCCTGGAGGTTTGAACTCAGGGCCTAGGCACTATTCCTAAGCTTGCTTTTTGCTCAAGGTTAGTGCTCTAGCACTTGAGCTATATCTTCACTTCTGGCTTTTGGGTAGTTTATTGGAGAGAAGAGTCTCTTGGACCTTCCTGCTTGGCTGTGATTTTCAGATCTCAGCCTCCTGAGTAGCTAGAATTACAGGCAAGAGCCACTGGTATCTGGCATTTAGGTTAGTTTTTAAGCCCTGAGTAAAAGGTGAGAAATTGCTTATGAGCTATTTGGGAGTCTGGCTGTAAAATGCAGAATCAAAAAGATATAAGACTTAACAAACACACTTGTATAATTGTTAGGATTTTTTTGTTTTTAGTAGAACTCTGTATGAGCTGTCAATCTTTAACTGTAAACAGAGTGTTCCTTAGCATGTTCAAAGTAGATCCATACATTGTAATATAGTGATTCTCTTTGTTTCTCTCCTTCCCTCCACACACATTTTTACCCTTATTTTTGACCCTTCTTATCCCTTTGATGCCAACCATAATGGCACTTCCATTCAGGATGTGGGCAGGCAAACAGACAGCTGCATCCAGAGCTGATAACAAAGTTGTTGTGTAGATCAGTCTTCGAGATGCATTTGAGTGGTATGATTGGCAGGTTCTGTCCTCGAGAGCAAGCAAGCACATCATCTCTGCAACAGGCTCAGCTGCCAAGCCTGGGGATCCAAGTTCATTCCCAAGCTCAGGCCAGTCAGTTGGCAACCTAAGCGATTCCACTATGCCCAAAGAGCCTACAGGTAGTATTCTTATTATTTTTTGGTCCCAAATATTCGTTTGTTTCAGGCTACTTGAAGATAATCCTACATGTGCAACTTGAGTTTAATGTAGGATTCTTTCCATATGAAATCAGTTTAGAACTGGTAGCCGGGATTTAGGTAGCATAATGTTTAAATTTGTCAATTGTTCAGTATAGTCTATACCTCACTAAAAATTTTATGATGGAAATAAAAAATAAATTGCACCATTTTTATTTATTATTCTTTTTTGCCAGGTTTACCTCGTGTATCGCCTTTTTTAACATCCTTAATGAGTTAAATGACTATGCAGGACAACGAGAGGTAGTAGCAGAAGAAATGGCGCACAGAGTGTATGGGGAATTAATGAGATACGCCCATGACCTGAAAACTGAAAGGAAAATGGTAATTTTTATCTGGTTACAGTAGCTGTATGGAATATTTTTTCACAGAATTACTTTGGTTTTTAAAAAAGTGTGTGATGATGGGCTGGGAAAGTGGCTCAGTGGTAGAGTGCTTGCCTTGCATGCATGAGGCCCTGGATTCCTCAGCACCACATAAGCAAAAAGAAAAAAGCTGGAAGTGGCGCTGTGGCTCAAGTGGTAGAGTGCTAGCCTTGAGCTGAAGAGCTGAGGGATAGCGTCCAGGCCCAGAGTTCAGGCCCCACAACAGGACCCAAAAAAAAAAAAAAAGTGTGTGATGAGTGGTTGGGATGGTGGCTCAGTGGTTGAGTGCTTGCCTTATGTGCATGAGGTCCTGGGTTTGATTCATTAGCACCACATAAACAGAAAAGGCTGGAACTGGTGCTGTGGCTCAAGTGGTAGAGCGCTAGCCTTGAGCCTAAGAGCTCAGAGACAGCACCCAGGCTCAGAATTCAAGCCCCATGACCAACCAAAAAAAAAAAAAAGTGTGTGATGAGCATAAATCCTTTTTTTTATTGTTTTACTAAATTTCTCTGGTATAAAAGTTATGAGCTAGACTTGCCAATTTCTGGATCCTTTTGGATTCAAGACCAAGATCCAACAATTGTAGTACACAGTCTAAAGCCTGACTATTGCATATTTTTGTTTCCCAGATACTACAAGAGTTTTTTTTCTTTTTTAGATATTTGAAAAAAAAAGAAATATTTTATGGCATGTGAAATTTACATAAAATTAAAATTTTTTGTTGTCCACAAATAACATTTTATTAGACTCTGATTTATTGACCTAAAGTTTGTCTGTGGTTGCCTTTGCATTACCTAGGCAGAATTGAGTATTTATGATAGAAGTTATGTTGCTTGCAAAGTTGATATTTATTACTTGATGCTTTGTAGAAAATCTTTGTTAACTCCTAAAAATTTAGTCATTATTTTAAAAGTTATATTTTAAATACTCCAACACAAAATGTATACAGATAGGTTTTACTCTTTCTGTATCTGGAGAAAGGGGTGTTTGTGTATGTGTGTAGTACTTGTAAAAAGTGAAGATCTTTTTTGGGACTCTAGAATTTATTTAGTATTTAAATGTAATAATTTCTGTTTGTTTTGCTTTGCTTTGTTTTTTTGGTGATGGTTATACTCTAGCATCTCCAAGAAGGACGAAAAGCTCAACAATACCTTGATATGTGCTGGAAACAGATGGATAATGTGAGTTAGTGTGTTTAGTTTAATTTTGTAATCTAGATTACCCTTAAATTCTGTTTACTTATATCTGTTTGAATTTAATATGTTTCAATATATGATTCATAATTTGACAGTTTTTTGAGATTTTTTTTATCATAACCTGTAAAGAATAAACAAAGGATGTGAGATCAATATGTCATTTTTGTTCTGTGTAACTCTATGAATTCTCTAATCTTTATATCACTATAAATGTGTAGTGAGACTGTTTTAGACTTTTAGTAGTTCCTCTTAACTATATTTTTTTTCTTTTTGTATGTTTTTTATTGTAGAAATACTGTACAGAGGGGTTACAGTTACATGAGTAAGGTAATGAGTACCTTTCCTATAGAGCATTGTTACCTCCTCCTTTATTTTTCCCCTACCTTTTAACTATTAATGAAGGAAGAAATAGTAGGGAAACAGTGATATATATTTGACTGAGAGAACCAAGATTCTAGTTCTAGAAAATTTTCTTAGGATTTAATTTCTTTGACCTCATTGTTTTTCAAATTCTTTATTGTGATTAAGTGATTACATAAGTTCCCAAATTTCACAGTATTGTGGGATAGTGATGCTTAGTTAAAGTCACAAACGCATTCTAACTTTCATGGGAGAAATTGTCTATCATGGTCTATAACATTTATGAGTTCTATGAGCTTTGACAATACAGTTATTTCTTCCACATTGGGTGATATGTACATTTGTTTTGCATAGCGTCAGCTATTCCCTCTTTCCCACTTGTTCCCTCCCTCTCGTCGCTGCCATTGAGTTGCTTAGTTCATTTTGATCAAGGTTCAGTGCAGCTGATGGGTCCCGCTGTTGTATGTTTTTCCCTGATTCCCTCTAGTTCTGTGTCCTCCTCCTGGTTTCCCTCTGGTGTACACATATATACCATATATGTGATCAGCAGCATGGGGTTATTTAGTAGTGATTCAATCAGATTAGTGGAAGTCCTTTGTTTCTCAAGTCTTATTAACTTTGTCGTATCACCTTACGTTTTGGATTTAACATCCACTTATCAGGGAAACCATGTGCGCTTGTCTGTTTGCTCTTGGCTTACCTCGCTCAACATGATTTCTTCTAGCTCCATCCATTTCCCTGCAAATGCCATTATTTTGTCCTTTCTAATGGCTGCATAATATCCCACAATTTTTGGATCCATTCATCTATGGTGGGACACATGGGTTGTTTCCATATCCTGGCTATTGTGAATAGTGCTGCAATAAACATGAAGGTGTATGTGTCCTTGTATACTGTTTCCTGTTGTTCAGGATAGATGTCTAGAAGTGGTATGGCTGGGTCATAGGGGAGGTCAATATTTAGCTTTCTGAGGACCGTCCAGACTGCTTTCCAAAGTGGTTGTATAAGTGTACATTCCCCCCAGCAGTGTAATAGAGTTCCTCTTTCTCCACATCTCCTCCAGCATTTGTTGTTTGCTGACTTTAGGATGTGGGCCATTCTGACTGGTATCTCAGGGTTACAACCAGGGATGGTGAACATTTCCTCATGTGTTTCTTTGCCATTTTTATCTCTTCTTCTGAAAAGTCTCTTTAGTTCCCTTGCCCATTTACTAATCAGTTTGTTAGGTTTGGGAGGTTCTTGAGTTCCCTGTATGTACTGGATATTAACCCCTTGTCTGATATATTCCTGGTAAATATTTTTTCCCAGTTGTTGTCTTTCTAGCTTGGTTGCTATAACTTTAGCTGTGCAGACTTTTTATTTTAAGGTAGTCCCATTTGTCAAGTCTCTCTCCAATTTGTTGTGACCCTGTGACTCTGTTCATGAAGTTCCTGCCTGTGCCTATAAGTTCAAGTGTCTCTCCTACTCTGTCCTGCAGTAGTTTCAGAGATTCAGGTTTGATGTTAAGGTCTTTAATCCATTTTGAGTTGATGTTGGTGCATGGTGATAGGCTGGGGTCCACTTTTAGTTTTCTGCATGTGGCTGCCCAGTTTTCTTAGCACCAGTAGTTGAAGAGGCTGTGTTTCTTCCACTGTGTGTCTTTGGCTCCTTTGTCAAATATCAGCTGACCGTAGGCATGTGGTTTTATTTCTGGATCTTCTGTTCTATTCCATTGGTCTTCCCGTCTGTTTTTGTGCCAGTATCATGCTGTCTTTGTTATGGCTCTTTAGTAGAGTTTGAAGTCCGGCATGGATATCCCTCCCATGTTGTCTTTTTTGCCTAGAATTGTTTTGGCTATTCTAGGTCTTTTGTTGTTCCATATGAATTTTTGGACTGTTTTCTGTATTTCAGAAATGTATGTAATTGGGATTTTAATAGGAATTGCATTGAATTTATATGTTAATTTTGGCAGTATGGCCATTTTCACTATATTAAGTCTGTCTATCCAAGAGCATGGAAGGTCTTTCCATTTCCTGGTGTCCTCTGTAATTTCTTTAAGTTTTTATAGTTTTCATTAAATAGTTCTTGTACATCTTTGGTTAGGTTAATTCCTAAATATTCAATTTTTGAGGGGGTTATTGTGAATGGGGTTGCTTCCTTTACTTCCTTCTGTGCTTGTACATTGTTGGCGTACAGGAAGGTGACAGATTTTTGTGGGTTGATTTTGTATCCTGTTACTTTGCTGAAGTAGTTTATAATTTGGAAGAGTTTGGGGATGGAGTTTTTGGGATCATGAAGGTATAGTATCATGTCATCTGCAAAAAGGAATAGTTTAACTTCTTCTCTATGCAGATCCCTTTAATGTCTTTTTCTTGCCTTATTGCAGTGGCTAAGGGTGCTAGAACTATATTGAAGAGGTGTGGAGACAGTGGACATCCTTTTCTATTCTTATTTTCTCCAGAGCTTTTAACATGAATGAATGTTGTATCTTATCAAAAGCCTTTTCTGCATCAATGGAGGTAATCAGGTGATTCTTGACCTTGGATCTGTTGATGTATTGGATTACATTTATTGATTTACGTATGTGAAACTATCCCTGCATCTCTGGGATGAAGGCTACCTGGTCGTAGTGTATGATTTTTTTAAATGTGTTTCTGGATTCTGTTAGCTAGAACTTTGTTAAGGATCTTTGCATCTGTGTTCATCAAGGAGATTGGTCTGTAGTTCTCTTTTTTGGTTGGGTCTTTGCCTGGTTTGGGGATGAGTGTGATATTGGCATTGTAGAATGTTTTTGGGATAGCTCCTTCCTTCTCTCCTTCTCTGAAGAGCTTGAGTAGTATGAGTATTAGTTCTTCTTTAAAGGTTTTATAGAATTCCGTTATGAACCATCTGGTCCTGGGCTTTTCCTTATTGGAAGACTTCTGATTGCTTCCTGTATCTCCTTGTAAGATATTGGCTTATTTAATTATTTCTTCTTTGCTCAGTTTGGACAACTTGTATTTTTCTAAAAATGCATCCATTTGTGCTAGGTTTTCTTTCTTTAGAGAGTATAACTTTTGAAAATAGTTCTTTATAATTGTTTGTATGTCTTGGGTATTTGTTGTGATTTTTTTCCTATGGCATCCCTGATCTTGTTGATTTGGATTTCCTCTCTTCTTAATCTTGACAAAGGTCCATCAGTTTTATTTATTTTTTCAAAAACCAGCTTTTTGTTTGGCTAATTTTGGCTATGATTCTCCTATTCTCTATTTCATTAATTTCCACTCTTACTTTGATTATCTGGCTCCATCTAGTAACTTTAGGTTCCATTTTTTTCCATGTTTTTCTAGCAGTTTTAATTGCACCATGAGATTATTTACTTGGTCTGTCTCTATTTTCTTGATGTGGGCACTGAGGGCAATAAATTTGCCCCTCAGGACTGCTTTTGCTGTATCCCACAAGTATCTTTGTGATGTGTACTCATTTTCATTGAATTGTAGGAACTTTTTAATTTCTTCTTTAATTTCTTCTGTTACCCAGGTGTTGCTTAGTAGTATTCTGTTCAATTTCCATGTATTTGAGTAATTTCTGTGGTATGTTTTGTTATTGAGAACTAGCTTGATTCCACTGTGGTCGGGATTGTGTCAATCCCCTTGTATTTGCTTAAGTTCCTTGCATGAACCAAGGTATGGTCTATTTTGGAGACAGTTCCATGAGCTGCTGAGAAGAACGTGTACTGTGTCGTTTTAGAGTGAAATACTCAGTAGATGTCTTGACCTCATTTTTTAGTGTGTGAAAAATGAGGAGACTGAACTAAAATATATAAGGTATATGTTTCTTTTAGTTAATCTGTAATTCTAAAAATGATCCTAATTTAAGCCTGCCAATCAGAGAAAAAAAGATAGCTTGATGCTGGTGGTTCACGCCTGTAATCCTAGCTACTCAGGAGGCTGAGTTCTGAGGATTGCCAGCTTGGGCAGGAAAGACTGTGAGATGCATCTCTAATAAACCACCAGAAAACTGGATATGGCGCTGTGGATCAAGTGGTAGAGTGCTAGCCTTGAGCTGAAGAGCTGAGTGACAGCGCCCAGGCCGAGTTAAAGCCCCAGGACCAACAACAACAACAACAACAACAAAAATAGAAAAGAAAAATACTTTAGGGCATTGAAGTATATAATAATTTGGGGCTGGGAGTGTGGCTTAGTGGTAAAGTGCTCGTCTATGGGCTGGGAAGGTGGCTCAGTGGTAGAGCGCTTGCCTTGCATGCTCGAGGCCCTGGGTTCGATTCCTCAGCACCACATAAGCAAAAAGAAAAAAGCCGGAAGTGGCGCTGTGGCTCAAGTGGTAGAGTGCTAGCCTTGAGCTGAAGAGCTGAGGGACAGTGCCCAGACCCAGAGTTCAGGCCCCACGACCGGACCCCCTCCCCCCCCCCAAAAAAAAAAGTAAAAAAATAAAGTGCTCATCTAGCATGCATGAAGCCTTGGGTCTGATTCTTCAGTACCACATCAGCAAAACAAGTCAGAAGTGACGCTATGGCTCAAGTGGTAGAGTGCTAGCCTTGAGCAAAATAAGCTCAAGGACAGTGCCCAGGCCCTGAGTTCAAGCCCCAGGACTCCCCCCTCCCAAAAAAAAAAAAAAAAAAGTACAAACATTTAAAATTGTTCTAAGGTACTTGCTAATGTGTTTTTTCTTCAAAGTTCTGATATATTGTAATTGGAAAAAGAAGATATCTAAATGGAACATTAGACTCTTTGCTTAAAATGTTGTGCTAAATGATTTTTTGTTTTGTTTTGTTTTTTTTTGGTCAGTCTGGGGCTTGAACTCTGGGCCTGGGCGCTGTCCCTCAGCTCTTCAGCTCAAGGCGAGCGCACTGAGCTATACTGCCACTTCCGGTTTTCTGGTGGTTTATTGGCGATAGGAGACTCACGGTCTCTCCTGCCTGGGCTGGGTTTGAACCGCAATCCTCAGATCTCAGCCTCCTGAGTAGCTAGGATTACAGGCATGAGCCACTAGCGCCCAGCTGTGCTAAATGATTTTTATAGTATAAAACATTCTTTTTGAACTTCTAAGTTTTGAAGCAATTTTCTTTTTACCAGCATATTTTTCTGATAATTTTCAATAATTATCATGAAGGAAGTTTTTCATATTGTTTAGTCTGTGATTGATAGGGGAAAAAAAGACTTGTTTAAGATTGAAAGTTGTTAAACACATGTATATATTTGCAGTATTTTTTTTTTTTGTTGGTGGTGGGGCTTGAACTCTGGGCCTGGTATTTGCAGTATTTTTATCTTTTCCTTCCTTTTTTAAAAAAAATGGCCTATTTCAGAGTTTAGATTAATCTTCTACTGTTAATTGACACTAATAAAAGATTCTTTACCAGTGCTGATGGAGAATCAGGTGTAATAATAATCTGCTTTCATTTTTATCTTGAGTTTCTAATTGGTCTCAGTAAGACTTTTAAGGAATGTTTTTATTGATTAAATTTTAAATTGCATTCATTAGCATTTTTATTATTTGACACCTAATGAATGTGCATATGTGTTTCATTTGCACAAAACAACAGACTCCTACACTCGAGATCTTGTTGTTCTTTAAAAATTGGTGTCACAAATCATTGTTGATGATATGTGCTGACTTGCCTTTCAAACAGATGACAGTTAATAAGAAAGGTTGCAAAGTCCTAAGTAAGTGAGAATCATCAAAACTCTTCAAGGCATTGTGTGGAAAAAAGGGTGTCTTCAATCCTATAAATGCTTGTCCTTTACATGTACTAGTCCCTGGTTAGATAAAATAAGTATGATTCTTGTTTTTGTCAGGGTTGCAGTCCAGGGAAGGAGATTGACAGATTAATTTCTGCCTATATGTAGGAGCAAGTAAAGAATCTTATTTCCTAATTCTGTGTCTTGTTTAGTCAAGAGAACAAAAAAATGTAGACTTCCAAACAAGTCTGCAATAATTGACTAGAGATATAAATAACTGGGACAGTGTGACATGATAATGAAATAGGCAGCCCTTGCAATTCGCATGAGGGCAGAGGAAAGCAGCATGTGAGAGAGATCTTGAAAGAATGGTCAGAGACTGAGAAGATGAAGGTTTCAGTGCTAGTTAGGATGGGCACACATTTATAAGAACAGAGCCCAGAAGTGGAGCAGGTCCAGAACTGACAAGAAGTTCAAACGTGTGACCGAGGGGCTGAATGATCTTTTCTGTTTGCTTTGGCAGTTTGGCAGTTTGCCTTGATGGCTAACACTTGACTTTAGGTAGCAAACACCCTCTCCTCAAGTAAGCTGTACCCAGAGACATTTCTTTTCCAACTGTCCCTTTTTATTAGGGAAGTAAAAAAAAAAAAAAAAATCCAGAACCCCCCAGCAGACTTCTTCATAGATACCTTTCATGACATTGGATTACTTGTTCATGCTCCAGTTATTTTTAGCTTCTATATTAGGAAGCAGGTTCTATAAAGTAAGGGTAGAAGAACAGAGGTGGCAATTATCAGTCTGCCCACCAAAAGCATAATTAAAGAAGACATGTTTTTTGGAGTATGTCTTGAATTGTATAATGATATGCAATATTATTTAATGGTTAAGGAAGTGTTTTAAAAAATACTGATATGCTATGATAGTTTTACTGTTACAAGAATATTATTATCCAGGTGTATCCCACAAATAAAGATACTTAATATAAAAATACTTCGGTTGAGCCCAGGTGCCTAACTACTCAGGAGGCTGTGATCTGAGGATCATGGATTAAAGCCAGCCTGGGCAGGAAGGTCTGTAGTTCTCTTAACTCCAATTAGTCATCAAAAAGCTGAAAGTGGAGCTTTGGCTCAAGTGGTAGAATGCTAGCTTTGAGCAAAAGAAGCTGGGGGACAGTGTCCAGGCCCTGAGTTTGAATCCCAGGATCAGCAAGAAAAAAGTTCTCTGTAACTAGCCTCAATTTCTACCAAAATTATAGCTCATAGCTGCTGGTAAATACAAAATGTCAGATCTTTCTTCAGAGCAACTTCAGACTACGAGTAGGCAAGAAATTGGAAGAGGCTTTCTCTGGAGAATCCCAATCAACTAGAGACAGAAAAAAAAAATCATTATAGATACTGTTCCCAGGGGTTTCCAAAGAAACTATCTGACCATTTCACCTTAAGGGAAGACCATAATTCACCAGCCTCACCTGTAGAGCCTTCAATTTACTTTTTAAACAATAGCATATAGCCAAAGATTCCCCAGACATTTAAAGAAACATCTAATTGTGCACATCAGAGATCAAAATGAATGTTCAGGGAAAAAAAACTCAGAGGAAACAGGAAATGAACATTAAAAACAAGGAAAACGAACATGTTAATTTTCTCAGTGGGGATAGAGGGAATATTAAATTTATGAACATAAGGTTAGCCTACTATTTAAGAATATAAAGAAGACAAGGGCTTGGGTGTTGGTGGCCTGTAATCCCAGCCACTCAGTTGGCTGAGATGTGAGGATCGTGGTTTAAAGCCAGCTGCTGGGACAGTAAAATATGTGAGGCATTTATCTAACCACCAAAACAGCAACAATAACAACCCCCCCCCCCCAAAAAAAAAAACCAAACCACAAAAGGTAGAAGTGGAGTTGTTCAAATGGTAGAATGATAGGCTTGAGCAACAAGCTCAAGGACAATACTGAGGCCCTAAATTCAAGCCCCAGGTTCCGCTCACACCCACAAAAAAAAATTCATGTAGTAGAAATAAAAAACTCACTAAGAAGAATGAGAGATGAAGTCTAAGAAATCTCAAAAGACCAAAAATGGTAGGGATTATAATGTAAAAGTAAAAATAATCTAAAATTAGAGGATAAACTTGCCAATTTCATTTTCAATATAATAAGCTTCCTGAATGGGTCAAACTAAGTCAAGAAAATGTCCCTTAAGTTGAAAGACATGTTTCCTGTGTATCTAACACAGATCTAATCTATATGATTTCAAAACATGATATCAGAGAGAGAGAGGGAGGGAGGGAGGGAGGGTCACATAGGAAACTAGAAAATAGTGGAATAGGACTTTTAAACTTCTGAAGAAAAATGATTTCTACTTAGAAATTCTATACACAGCCAACTTTTATAAATGAAAAAAAAATGGTAAGGACTATGGCTAATGCATTAGTGGTTTCCTAGCATGTGTAAGGATCTGGATCATTCATTCTCCAGTACTAGAAAGGAGGGGATGAGTGTGGTGGGGGATGGGGAATGGTGGTAAAGGCAATTTTAGTCATAGAGACTCAAAAACTTCTAAGAAACTTAGGAGGCTGCTGTTGACCATGTTGCTGCAGAATGAAGAAGTAAAACTAGAAAGGAGAAACATGGAACTAGGAACTAGGTCTGAATAGGACAACAGTATACAGGAATCCCCAGGATCATGGAAAGGGGAAATCCCAAGGAAACAGCTAAACACTAGGTTCAAGTTAAAAAAAGAAAGAAAGAAAGAAAAAAGAATGCTGAGAGGCTAGAAATGTGGCTTAGTAGTAGTATGCTTGCCTAGCATGCATGAAGCCCTGGGTTCCTCAGTACCATAGAAAAAGCTGGAAGTAGCACTGTGGTTCAAGTGGCAAGAGTGCTAGCTTTGAGCAAAAGAAGCTCAGGGACAGTGCCCATACCCTAAGTTCAAGCCCCAGGACTCGCAAAAATAAAAAAGAATGCTCTGAGACAAGTTTAATCAAGAGAGAATGAACTTGACAGAATTCCTAATATGTTAGAATTAACTTTGGAGACATTTAAAATGGAGGAGGATTTATTAAATTTAAATTGGGAAGACTTATTAAAGTGCATTGGAAATATATCTATGTATGTATATATATTCATATGGATATGGATATAGATATACATACAGCGATAGAATGGCTCAGTAAGTAGCTTTTACAAGTCAAAGTTTATTTTTACATGATCTCAGTCTAGGCAAATGATATTCCTGTAGAACTTAACAGAAACAATACCACACCCGTTTGGAGGGAGACTTTATATCTCAACTCAGTATCCTACTCAAAAAGTATAAAAGCAGGTATCACAATCAACCAATGAAATTTAAAAAGGAACAAACTAAAAATGACGTGCTGAAAGTGAGCTTATAATAAAAAACATACATTTTTGGTGGTTGGGGGGGGGCAAGAAATGAGATTTATACTTATGTATATGAGATATAATGTGTCTTTTTTCCTTGATAGTCTATAATTATAGTCTGCTGCTTATAACACAGATTTGTTGTAATAGTTATTTTCTAATTTCATAAAGACAAATTTTACTTTTAGTGTGCAGTTAATTTCTACACAACACACAGTGGTAACATTTTAAAGTTATTTAAACAAATTAAATCTATTTTATGCCTCAGTGTGATGTTTGAATTTTTTTTTTTTTTACAGAGTAAAAAGAAGTTTGAAAGAGAATGTAGAGAGGCAGAAAAGGCACAGCAGAGTTACGAAAGATTGGATAATGATACTAATGCAACCAAGGCAGATGTTGAAAAGGTAAGGGGACATCATCCAGTTCAGCTTTGAAATCAAAATATTGCTTGTAAAGCCAGGCATGAGTGGCTCATACCTATAATCCTAGCTATTCAGGAGGCTGAGATCAGGATTGTGATTCAAAGCTAGCTCGGGCAGGAAAAGTCCATGAGACTCCTATCCCCAATTTATCCACCAAAAATCTGGAATTGAACCTGGAATTGTTGATCAAGCAGTATAATACATCTTGAATAAAAAAGCTAAAGGAAATGCCTGGTTCTTAAGTTGAAGCCGTAGTTAGTTTCTCCTTGGTCCCCTCCCCGCCCATACATTTCAAGAGATAAACTGCAGTGGAGAAAGGTGGCTCAGTGGTAGAGCGCTTGCCTTGCATGCATGAGGCCCTGGGTTGGATTCCTCAGTACCACATAAGCAGAAAAAAAAAAGCCGGAAGTGGTGCTATGGCTCAAGCGGTAGCGTGCTAGCCTTGAGCTGAAGAGTTGAGGGACAGCGTCCAGGCCCAGAGTTCAGGCCCCACGACCAGACCCCCCCCCCCAAAAAAAAAAAAAAAAAAGAAATAAACTGCATCTAAGTCTGAAATATACAAATATCTGCCTATTAAAAAAAATATATATATATTGACCTGAGAAGGAAATGTTGATTGATTAATTATAACATCTGAACTATATTCAAAATGTAGAAGAGAGAAGTTGACACTGGGATTGTTTGGCCCATCTCAGACTTGGGTATAAACCCAAGATGTGTCAGTTGAGAATGTACATAGGGTTTGAGGAGTGTGCCTCACCAACTTTTTTTTTTAATTGTGAAAATACCGTATAGAGGAGTTACAATTACATGGGCAAGGTAATTAATGAGTACATTTCTTTTTTTAAATTTTTATTTTTTTGTGAAAATACTGTACAGAGGGGTTACAATTACATGGGCAAGATAATGAGTACATTTCTTATCAAGCATTGTAGCCTCCTCCTTTGTTTCCCTTGTCCATCCCTTCCCATCCTCCCCCTGCCCCCCCACCCAGTCCTTCCCGCTTCCCCCTCCACCACCAAAGTTGTAATGAGTACATTTCTTATCAAGCATTGTTGCCTCCTCCTTTGTTTCCACTTCCCATTCTTACCCATTTACCCCCTCCACGTCCCCCCACTCCCCCAACTTTAAAGAAGAGAAAGCATGGTAAACCTGCCAGAAGGGCATGGTAGCTGTTTATTCATTGATGCTGCACATTTGTTGGTAGAATTAACCCTTTGACCCCCGGGGCGAGAGGGGGAGGGCTTCCTATGTGCTCTTTATCTTAGAATATTTGACACAGAGACAATGATGAGATGTTGAACCTTACTTCCTATAGTTGGAAATATTAGAAGACCATCCTTCTTATATATCTCCTTTGGATTTTACAGTTCCCTAAAGGATTAGAGTGAAAAAAAAGAACAAAGGGAGAGAGAAATAATTTTTATTTTTATTTATTTATTTATTTATTTTTGGATCCGGTTGTGGGCCTGAACTCTGGGCCTGGGCGCTGTCCCTCAGCTCTTCAGCTCAACTAGCGCTCTACCACTTGAGCCACAGTGCCACTTCTGGCTTTTTTCTTTTTGCTTATGTGGTGCTGAGAAATAATTTTTATTTCCTGCTTACCACTTTGCCAGTGAGAAAAAGAATTCTTTAAACATATCAATTGTAGGTTATAATTACATTACAGGTCTTTTAATCGTAACTATTTTACTATTCTTAATGACCTATACCTCTAACAGCATGTCACCTTGTCACTGAATATGTACAATCTTAAGTCAGTTTGCTCTTTGCTTTTTGCTGTTTTGTATTATGTCTTAAAAATTATTTTTAAGTAGTTGTACAAAGGGGTTTCAACTCAACATACCAATTTATGAGCATCTTCATCAATATCATAGCCCCCTTTTTTTTGTCCTTTCAGTATTAGGATTTGAACTCAGGGCTCACTACTTGTAGTGCAAGTGCTCTATCACTTGAGCTACTTTTTTGCTTTTAGTTTATTTTCTCAGTAGGATCTTCTGCTTTATTCCTGGGGCTAGTCTCAGACTATAGCTCTTCTGTCTTGGCCATTCTTGTAGTTGGGTTTATAGGTATGTTACCACCATGCCTGGCTTGTTGAGACAGGACCTCTGTTAACCATTTATTTATTCCTTTATTTGTTTGTTTATTTATGGCCTTAACCCATAATATCTTGTCTCCTCCTCATGTATAGGCATGAACTGCCATGCCTGGCCTTGCTCTGGCATTATTCATTTGCAGGTGTTTTTTGTTTTGTTTTTGTCATTGGTAACTATTTGGATCAATTTGCCTCTAGGCCAAACAGCAGTTGAACCTGCGCACACATATGGCTGATGAGAATAAAAATGAATATGCTGCACAGTTACAAAACTTTAATGGAGAGCAACACAAACATTTCTATGTGGTAATTCCTCAGATTTACAAGGTAAGTTTTATCCATATGGCTTTATCTAGTTTGAGTGAAAAGAATTAGCATTTTATTTTTTTATACTTTTTTATTGTAAAAATGCTGTACAGAAGGGTTACGGTTACACGAGCAAGGTAATGAGTACGTTTCCTGTTGAGCATCGTTGCTTCTTCCTTTGTTTTCCCCCTACCATCCCTTCCCTCCCACCCAACTACATGCCTGCGCCGCCGCCCCCCCCCCCCCCCCCCCCCCAGCATTTAATTTTTTTTCCCCTCAGTTCTGTAGGTTAAATCCAGGATCTTGTGCAGGTTAGAGGGACATTTTACTACTGAGCTAAATGCCCAGCCATAAAATTTAAATTTTAAACCTTATTCATCAGAGTTTTCTAAGTTTACTAGTTATTAGGAATGGTGATCTGAGGAGTAAATTTTTTGTTACTTTTAAATCATGAATTTTTCTGAATTATTGTCATAAATAGCCCACTAAAACATATTATAATCTGTTTACCTAAAATTGGGATGTAGCTTTTTGATCCCAAATCATTGTCTTTGGCATTAGCACAAGTGGTAGGAATAAAAATAAATTGTTTCTGCTAGTTTGACTTCTGGCTGCTTGTCTTGTTGCCTCTGTTAGATCACAGCTAAATTGTAATTCAGGATCATCCTTTAATGATAGCAGATGCCAAACAGGTAAAGACCAGAGACCTTTCATCAAGATAAAATTATATTAATGCTTTGTCTAGAAGAGAAATTAGGGGAAAGAGATTTAGTAAAACAGTGTTGCATGTAGTTGTACCTAGGAGAATGGAGTGTATGTAGAATGTCAGCCCATTGATACTTATTTTTCCTTTGTAAGGCATTATGGAAGTACAAAGGAAGCAGAGTCTGTGTTGGTAGACTAGAATTGGATATCAGATCACTTCCATCTGGAGCAGCAAGCCTGCCTGTCCTCACTGTAATGACTTTCTAGGCTTACTAGCTATTTTCATAGTCTAGGGAAGTCTGTAGTAACTATCTTTTGTGTTCCGGTGCCTGATTATTTTGTTTGGAATTTACTGTGGAATAACCTCGGTATTTTTCAATGCCAGGAGCCTTTTTTTTTTTTTTTTTTTAATGCAGGTCTCAAATTTCCAGGTTTTGGGAAGTAATTAAAAAGGAACTATGGTGTGAAGGCTATGGGAATTTGAGGACTTGAGCAATGTGGCTGCTTCCTCGGAAAGCCAAAGGTTATTGTTGGCAAAAAAAAGAAAAAGTATCAAAAAAGAAATCATTAAGCTCTTGAACTTCATTGCCCCAACTAGTGGCCATGGATTTTGAATTGTGGGGGTTCTATGTATTGCCATTTTGGCCATGTGACTTCCTGATTTTCTTGTTTCCTAAGCTCTTTAGTAATTACTATAATCATTAAATTATGGTTGTCTTGGTACTCATTTGCATGTAATCAACTGCAAATGCTTTGTCTAGCTAGATTGTACCAAAGTATTCTAAACTCATTTAAGAGATTGAAGGTCTTAGCCTTAAGTGTGTAGTGATTGAGATAAAGGTCTTATGTCTTCAAAAGGAATTTTTACTAGAGATATAAGAGCTCATAAGAACTACCCTGGGTTAGCTGTAGGGTGCTTGCTTAGCATGCACGAAGCACTGGGCTCAATTCCTCAGCAACACATACACAGAAAAAGCCAGTGGTGCTATGGCTGAAGTGGTAGAGTGCTAGCCTTGAGCAAAAGAAATTCAGGGACAATGCTTAAGATCTGAGTTCATTGAGTTCAAGTCTCAGGACTGGCAAAAAAATAAATGAAAGAACTACTTTGGAGGGTAAAAGGTAGAAGAGGTATGGTTAGAAATTTGGTAGCTATAGGAGTAATTTTAGAAGACATTATTGCTTGGTTTTTGGATGTATTAAAGCCCTGAGGATTTCTTTTAGTAATTTTTATGAGGCCTCGAATTCTAAGAATTATAAGTCTATATAGCACTTGTCAAGAAGTATTAGAATAGATATCTTCAATTATTTGAGGAGAGTCACTTCAAAATGGTAAAACAAAACAATTTTTCTTTTCTTTTTTAAAAAAAATTCTGAATAGCAACTACAAGAAATGGACGAACGAAGGACTATTAAATTAAGTGAATGTTACAGAGGATTTGCAGATTCAGAACGCAAAGTTATTCCTATTATTTCAAAGTGTTTGGAAGGAATGATCCTCGCAGCAAAATCTGTGGATGAAAGAAGAGTAAGTGCTGATAAGTCTTTGAATAAACACATTTGGTTTGGGTGTATGTTTAAGTTAATGAAGTGAGATGAAAAAGTAATAAAATGATCTTGGTTCTAAGTTATATTCTTTAGGACAAAGTCTCACAATAAGTTAGACTCTGGACTCTCAGTTATATTCTATAGGAGACTGAATTTTAAGGACTATTCAAACTGCTACATTTCTAAATCTGAAAAAAATATATTCCTAGCTCTCTTGTTCCCCCACTAATTTTTCACTTCTCTTTGTCTCTCTGTCTCTCTCTCCTCTCCTTTCTTTCCTTTCTTTTCCAATCCTGGGACTTGAACTCAGGGCCTGAGTACTGTCCCTTCTTTTGCTCAAGGCTAGCACTCTACCACTTGAACCACAGCGCCACTTCTGGCTTTTTCCGTTGAGGTGGTACAGAGGATTCGAACCCAGGGCTTCATTCATGCTAGGCAAGCACTCTACCACTAAGCTACATTCCCAGCCCTAATTTTTCATTTCTAACCCAAGAATGTATCTTATGAACTTTTTGTTACAAATTGCACTATTTAGTGAAAGTTTAGAGAAAGACATGGTTGGGTAGATTTATTTAGCAGAATGACTTGAACACAGGAGTTGGTATTTAAGCTGGATCAAGAACTGTGGATCAGGACTGGGAAGGTGGCTCAGTGGTAGAGCGCTTGCCTTGCATGCCTGAGGCCCTGGGTTCGATTCCTCAGCACCACATAAGCAAAAAGAAAAAAGCTGGAAGTGGCGCTGTGGCTCAAGTGGCAGAGTGCTAGCCTTCAGCTGAAGAGCTGAGGGACAGCGCCCAGGCCCAGAGTTCAGGACCACGACCAGACCCCCCCGCCCCCCCCCAAAAAAAAAAAAAAGGAAAAAAAAAAAGAACTGTGGATCAAAGACTTTGTATGTAGAAGAAATGGGAAATAAATCTAATCATATTGCATCTAATTCCCTAGCTATGGGAATTTGGGGACTTGAACAATGTAGCTGCTTCCTAGGAAAGCAAAAGGTTATTGTTGACAAATAGCAACTGTAAAAAAATACCAGTCTTGTGTCTGGTGATTTTTCAGTAAATATGGGTTGTCCAAAAAAGTACGAGGGAGGAACAAGAGAAAAGAATTAGTTTTGTGGGGAGGTATCACATATGCACGCTTCCCAGCAAGCGTATCAAATAGATATTAGTGATGATCCTTTAGTAACTAGTAGAATCCTTAAATTTACAGAAAAGGAGAATTTTTGGCTTCTTCAGTTGGGAGTTCCAAAGTATACACTTGTGTGTTGTATTGTGTGTGTGAAACGCATATGTAGGCTATTTGTAACTTTCAGGTATTTTTCTATTGGGATTAAAATACTGAGGGCTTATTATAAATTCATAGAAAATTATTTACATTGAACTTTTGGTGATTATTATAGAAGTATGTCTTAAATCTTTATTTCCTTAATGTTGATTAAAGTTTTGAAAACCAATATGGTATTATGGGCAGATGAAATGGTTTAAAAATTTTGTTTCTTGTATGTAGGATTCTCAAATGGTGGTAGACTCCTTCAAGTCTGGTTTTGAACCTCCTGGGGACTTCCCATTTGAAGATTACAGTCAACATATTTACAGAACCATTTCTGATGGGACCATCAGCACATCCAAACAGGAGAGTGGGAAGATGGATGCCAAAACCACAGTAGGAAAGGCCAAGGGCAAATTATGGCTCTTTGGAAAGAAGCCAAAGGTAAAAGTCATAAAATTCCTATATACTAATCAGATTTTCCTAGTAAGTCAATAAATTAATATAGGCATTGACTGGATAAGAGCTTACTATTTATTAAAGGAGGATAAATATTTTCTGTTTGAATGATTTGCTTACCTTTCACTTATTATCAAACAGTTTATTTCAGTAAAAATTATTTCTATATTTAACATTTGACCACCACATAATGATGAAATATTAACTAAGTTGTTAATTTCTGGTTAAATTGTAGGCTTTTTGAAATTTTATTTGCATATAGTTCCATCAGAATTTCTAAGGAGGCATGATCTGACAAAAACACCACTGAAATAGCCAGTCTTGGAATGAATGGTTAACCAGAGTTTCAATAAATGTCAAATTGGATCATGTAGCCTGGACTGACAAAATTACTTCTCTTATCCATATGAGTTTTTAAATGAGAAAGGAAGGGTTCTGTTCTTGATTAGTTGAAATAAAAAATGATCTCTAGCTTGCTAAGAAAATTTCACTCCTCTTGTCAAACTTGGGCTTTTTATGTGTCATTTGTTTTAGGTAGGTAAACAGCCTAGCAGTCATCAAATGGATTAATGAGTGGTTTGTCCTTCTCCACAGTTAAGTGCTTGTAGTTGTGTCATAGAAAGGAGAATAGATGGATACCTTTAGTCTGATGGATATGCTATACTTAACAAAGAATACTTGATAACTTTAAGTCTTTGATCAACTTGATTATGAATAGTTATAAATGCCTTTAAAAGCACAGTTGCAGTTTGATCAGGCTTTAGTCATGGTTTTAATAATATTGTCCAGTCAAGAAGCTGGAAATTAGTAGACTTTTTATAGTCAGAGTAGCTACAGGAGTTTGAGGTACAAGCAATACAAAAAGTTACTTTAAAGAGGATGAAATAAGTGTAACATTCAAATAGTCTGAGAAGGGAAACCATGCACATAATGAAAATATCTGGCCTATTTATGATAATCAATTGCAGTTTTAGTATTATGTGTGATAACACTAGCCATACCCGCTGCTTTTATCTCTGGACAAGGACAGGTTAGGTATGCCTGTATAAGAATCTATCGTGGTACTGAATCTCTAGACATCAGAAGAGAACCTAAAAAATCTACCTCACATTCTTTAGTGTATTTTTATTTTTAGTGTATCAGCTTGTAAGAAATCAAGTGAAATGGTATAATTTTAAAAGTAAAGTTGACATTTAAAATGGTAGTTTTGGGCAAAAATTTGTTCACTTTTTAATAATAATAAACATTTTATTTGAGGTATATTTTGTGAAAAGTATGTTACCAAAAATAGAATTTTCATTTAGGAAAGAACTATGCACATTTGGCTTATTGATTCCTTTCTTTATTTCCATATTAGCCACAGTCCCCACCCTTAACCCCTACTAGTTTATTCACATCCAGTACTCCTAATGGGTCCCAGTTTCTCACTTTCTCCATTGAGCCCGTGCATTATTGTATGAATGAAATAAAAACAGGGAAGCCCAGAATTCCTTCTTTCAGAAGCCTCAAACGAGGGGTAAGTTTAATGATGGGTTGAAATGCATGATGGCCTATTGTGTGTGTAGTGTGGCTTTTAATACTCTCCACCCTCATTATAAGGCTCCGTTAAAAACACCACAGAATCAAGTAGAGCTGTCCCGAGTTAAATACAACTCCTCTTGGTAACATTTGAAATGCTCAACCCTAAAAGAAATGGTATTATAAAGAGGGTGTTGGGTACAATCATATTTTAGCTATTTTTTTCATTTATGTGAAATCATATGTCCACCATTGTCTTGTAATGTATTTACATTTTTAAGACTTTCAGTAATTTGTCACTGGAGTTACTCTTGTAATAATTTATCAGTAATGATAACTACACCTGACAATTTAAAAATAATACTTTGTTGACAGTAAAATATCATGCTTGATTTTAATTGCCCTTTTTACTTTTAGAAGCAGAAAACATAATTTTGAAAAGCTTAATAAAAAAACTAGGATATGATGACATCTGTCATCTCAGCACTTGGCAAGTTGAGTCAAGAGGGTTGCAAGTTCAAGACCACCTGGGGTGCAGGGAAATTAACTGTTTTTGAGACTGTCTCAAAATAAACTAAAGTTTAAACATAGGCATATTAAATATAAAGACTGCTTATAAAACATATCAGAAGGTACTTTGGAAATTTTAAAGCCTAGAAAAATACTTCGGTATTACTGAGTAATGTTTACATAGAATTTGCTTTCTTGAACCTTTTTTTTTTTAAAGAAACCAAACAATTTTTACCAGAATTTTCTCGTTCTTTTCTTTTAAAAATTGGCTAGTTTGTGACATTTGCATAGTCAGAGAACTCAGCCAATGAAAATTTATATAGACTAGCAAAATACAAATACAATATTGTTTCTTAGCAACAACTATACTGTACTACTGATAATTATTACTCTGTTGGTGAAACTAACCCCCTTTCCTATCCTCCCTCCCTTCTTTGTGGGAGTTGATCCCAGAGCTTTGTATATGCTGAACACTTGGTTCTACCACTGAACTCTCAGACCACTAAAATTTGAGTTGACCCTTATTTATTTATTTATTTATTATTTTATTTTATTTTTTTGGTTGGTTTTGGGGCTTGAATTCTGGGCCTGGGTGCTGTCCCTGAGCTCTTCAGCTCAAGGCAAGCGCTGTACTCTTGAGCCACAGCACCACTTCCAGTTTTCTGGTGGTTAATTGGAGATGAGAATCACATGGACTTTCCTGCCCTGGCTGGCTTTGTACTATGATCCTCAGATCTCAGCTTCCTTAGTAGTTAGGATTACAGGCATGAGCTACTGGCGCCTGGTATGACCCCTAATGTTTGAGTTTTAAGGTGTGTTCTTAATATTTCTAACCTATAGTTTATTTTCATCTGTAAGATTTTCCTGACATTTGGAAAACCTAAATATGATAATCATAGATGAGAAATCAGTGTCTTATCACTGTCAAAAGTCTGATTATGCTAGATATGGTAGTACACACCTATAATGCATGCCTATAGTCCCAGTACTTGGAGGTGAAAACTTGTTGGATCATGAGATCCAGGCCAGCAGGAGCTACATACAGAGTGAGATCCTGTCTCAATCCCCACCCCCCACTCCCACTCCCCAATAAAAAAGAAGTCTAGTCCTTAACAGTAATACATCAAAATTGGATTTTTCCTTCCCTTCTCTCTGTCTCTCTCTCTCTCTCTTTTTGCCTTCTCTTTCTTTTTTCCCTTTTTTCCTTTCTTTAGCTTTTTCTGATCTCAAATTGCATTTTGGACATCTGTAGAACAAAGTATGTTTGCTTAGTCAAGATTATATTATTATCTACATTTCTATTAAAACAATATAACAAACTTACCTGGAGTCAGTAGTGTAGAGTAACATTCTAGTATGCTACTAGAAGTTACAAAGGCTATGTTGCCTTTGTGACTTTTTCCCTTGGAAGTGTGAATATGTGTGCATCTGCCTAACCTAATTCTGTATGACTACAGAATAGGCTAAAGAGTCCCTGTGGATGGATCTGCATTACTCCTCCCAGTATGCTAGTCATCACTTCCCATAGACCCTTAAAACTTGTTTGAAAGAAATCATATTCAGAATTTCTGTTGCCTAAGTTAGGGTAGAATGGGTAGAATTAATTCTTGTGTTGTTTCTCTGTGCCATAGATAGGAAGTGAGTATAATTCTATTAAAAAAATAGTTTCGCTGGGCACCATTAGCTTATACCTGTAATCCTAGCTACTCCCGAGGCTAAAATCTGAGGATCACAGTTTGAAGCCAGTCCAGGTAGGGAAGTCTAGTTAGCCACCAAAAAGCCAGTTAGCCACTAAAAAGACACAAGTAGAGCTTTGGCCTTGACCAAAAAGCTAAGGGACAGCAATCAGGCTTCACATTCAAGCCCTGGTACCAGTACCCCCCACACCCTCCAAAAACAAAAAAACTTAACACATTTAGAACTAGTTTAAATTTTATTCTATTTTTTAATTTCTATGGCACTGAACATTGTACCCAGAGCCTGCTACTTGGCTAGACGAGCACTTTACCGCATGAGCTACACCCCAAACTCAGTATCTTCATTCTTGTTGAACTTTGCAGGTAGAATTTTACAAATACAGTGAATTTTACAGTAACTAAAATTATTGGCTTGATCATTATTTTTTATATGTTGCTTTAATTTTAAATATTCACATATTTTTATAGGGTCCTAGTATTAGAAGGCTGAAATTTCCTCCTGGTTTTAGTATTAGTATCCTAGCAAAGAAGCAAGCAGCATGTTTGAGACACCCCAGCTGGGGAGTGGGGAGTAGATGATGCACAAGAGGAAAGTATGCTGTGTTGGATCATTGGCATTGAGATTTTGTTGTTTCAATTGCTATTTGGAATTTTACTAGATATCAAAACTAACCCAGAGATCTTTTTCTTTTGCTTAAGAATTTTATCAATACAGAAGAACTCAGAAAGAAGAAAGTAAACTTTAAATAAGTCAATTTATGTGTTTTTTAACATGAATTTTTGTACCCATTAACTTTATAGAATAGGTCTTGAGGTTTCTTAAGGCTCGTGAGATATTCAGGAACTTGCTTCTGTATTTGTTAGACATTGTAGTGTCTGCATTTCCCAGTATCAGTAAGGAGATGAGGATTGTCACATGAGAGTAATGGTGTTTGAGCTTGACTTTGGGGCCAGTGGATTTTTCTGAATGCTAATTTCTTTCTGTGAGATTACAGTATAAACTTTAATGGATATTTGAGGAATATATCCATGCCTAATTTTAATACATAAACTAACATTTTTACCCTAAACTACTACTTTTGGTTTTCATTAAATCATTCCTCTTTAAAGTAATAGATCTATCTAGTAATAGGAAGTACATATTTTGTGTCTTAAACTATTCATGACCTTATAGACTTCCAGAGTTTTTTTTGTGCCTGGCCTGGGGCTTGAACTCAAACTTAGATAATGTCCATGAGCTTCTTTGGCTCAAGGCTAGTC